CTCTCTCTCTTCCCCCCTCCCTACCTTCCTCTCTCTCAAATCAATAAAAACATATCATTGGGTGAAGAGTAAAAAAATAAGAATAATTTAAAAGAGTAGGTTCTCTAGCTGAAACTGGTTTGGCTCAGTGGATAGAGCGTCAGCCTGCGGACTGAAAGGTCCCAGGTTCCATTCCGGTCAAGGGCATGTACCTTGGTTGCAGGCACATCCCCAGTAGGGGGTGTGCAAGAGGCAAGCTGATGGATGTCTCTCTCTCTCTCTCTCTCTCTCTCTCTCTCTCTCTCTCTCTCTCTCTCGTCAATGTTTCTAACTCTCTATCACTCTTCCTCTCTATAAAAAAAAATCAATAAAATATATTTAAAAAAATAAAATAATAAAAAATAAAAGAGTATGTTCTCACCAGTGACTGTTGAGTTGAATTGAACCTAAGAGCTTGTTTTTTTGTCTGTGTTTGTTTTTATTTTGGAGAGAGGAAGGGAGAGAAATATCAGTATCTGGTTGGAGGACTAGTACATGTTTGCATGTACTAGTATGTTCAGAAAAACATCAATTGTCCACACCATAGGAGAGGACATTATGGAAGTCCCCAAACCCATCTCCCCACTCCTTAGCACTTCCACCATCCCGGCTTCACTTCAAACTCAGCACATTAAAAACAGGCCCAGTAAAGGCTAGTTCTCCTTAAAATCTGCCCCACCTTCCCCAACTTCCTCGCCTATTTAAGGCAGTCAGGTTAAAAACACTGGAACTTTGTTAAATTCTCCTCCTCAGCATTCACCCACCTCTTACCCAATTAATCATCAAATCCTGTCTACCCTTCCTTTGTAATGTCTTGGAAAGTCTCCATTTCTCTTCTGGCAGTTCAGAAATAGAAGATGGGAATCCACATACAGATGAAAAAAATTATAGAAATATAAAAAAGTGCAAAATAGCCGAAACCGGTTTGGCTCAATGAATAGAGCGTCAGCTTGGGGACTGAAGGGACCTGGGTTCCATTCCGGTCAAGAGCATGTACCTTGGTTGCGGGCATATCCCCAGTAGGGGACGTGCAAGAGGCAGCTGATCGATGACTCTCTTTCATCGATGTTTCTGGCTATCTCTCTCCCTTCTTCTCTGTACAAAATCAATAAAAAATATATTTAAAAAAGTGCAAAATAACATAGTTTCAGACAAGCTTTTATAACGATCCTGGGGCACAGCACTGTGTTTGTCTTGTGAAATTCAGAGCAGTTGGGGGCCCTTCCTCAGGTTCAGGGGTGTGGGAGGCCTTTGCTAGTCCAGCTCAGGATACTTTGATTCAGCCACCCCTCCCTGGACTGAGGATCAGGAAGCCTTCATTTCCAGATGAACCAATCTCCATTCAGAGCATGGCACATATATATCTAATCTAGTGCTGGCATAATTTATTAAGAGTATTTTATTTTGAGTTTATTCTTGTGTATGGTGTAACTTGGTGGTCTATTTTCTGTCCAATTTCCCCAATAGCATTTATTGACGATACTGCCTTGACTCCATTGCATGCTCTTGCCTTGTTTTTCAAGTATTAATTGAGCATAATGGCTTGGGTCAATTTCTGGGTTCTCTGTTCTACTTCATTGATCTATATGCCAGTTCTTATGCCAGTACCAGGCTGTTTAGATTACAGGGCTTTGTAATATAACTTGATATCTGGTATTGTGATCCCTCCAACTTTGCTTTTCTTTCTCAGGATTGCTGCTGCTATTCAGGGTCTCTTTTAGTTCCATATACATTTTTGGAGTGTTTGTTCTAGGTCTGTGAAATATGCTGTTGGTATTTTAATAGGGATTGCCTTGAATCCATAGATTACTTTGGGTAGTGTGGACATTTTAATGATGTTGATTCTACCAATCCATGATCATTGTATAATCTTCCACTTGCTTATCTCCCCTCTATCCCCCCCCCCCCTTTTTTTATGTCCTATAGTTTTCTGAGTACAAGTCTTTTACCTCCTTGGTTAAGTTTATTTCTATGTATCTTAACTTTTTTATTGCAATAGTAAATGGGATTTTTTTTTTTTTTTTTAGTTTCTCTCTGTGAGAGTTCTTTATTGGTGTATAAAAATGCCATTGATTACTGGGTGTTAATTGCGTATACTGCTATGTTGCCAAATTTATTTATTAAATCTAGTCTGGACATGTCTCACAGCACTATGTTTGCCGATACACATTCTAGTGCAGGGGAAAATAAACAAATGGGACTACATCAAGATAAAAAGCTTCTGCACAGCAAAAGAAACCATCAACAAAATGAAAAGGGAGCCCACTGTACGGGAGAACATATTGCTATTAAGACATCTGATAAAGGAGGAACCTTTGTAATAATATGAACAATAAAGATTGATTTAAAAAAAAAAGACATCTGATAAAGGATTAATATTCAAAATATATAAGGAACTCATATAAGTTAACAAAAGGAAGATAATCCAATTGAAAAATGGGTAAAAGACCAAAATAGACACTTCTTCAAATATGGCCAAGAGATATGAAAAAAAATGCTCAAAGTCACTAATCATCAGAGAGAGGCAAATTAAAAAGACAATGAGGTATCACCGCACACCTATCAGAATGGCTATCATCAACAAATGAACAAATGACAAGTGCTGGTGAGGATGTGGAGAAAAGGGAACCCTAGTGCACTGCTGGTGGGAATGCAGACTGGTGAAGCCATTATGGAAAATAGTATGGAGTTCCCTCAAAATATTAAATATGGAACTGCCATTTGACCAAGTGATTCCACTTCTAGGAATATACCCTAAGAAACCCACCAATCAGAAGGACTATATGCACCCCTATGTTCATAGCTGCACAATTTACAATAGTGAAGATCTGGAAACAGCCCAAGTGTCCATCAGTAGATGAATGGATAAAAAGCTGTGGTACATTTATAACATGGAATACTATGCAACTATAAAAAAGAAGGACCTCTTGCCTTTTGAGACAGCATGGAAGGACTTGGAGAGTATTATGCTAAGTCAGAGAAAGACAAGTATCACATGATCTCCCTCATATATGGAATTTGATGAACAAAATAATCCAGAGACATAGAAGCATGGGACAGATTGAGGCATCTCAGGGCGGTTTGGCGGTGGGTGGGTAAAGGGGAGAGATTAACTGGGGAATTTATATACATATACTAATATGCTTTGCCCATGGACACAGACAGTAGTGTGGTGAAGGCCTAGGGGCAGGTGTGGGGTGGAGGGGGTCCATGGGAATGAAGGGGGGAGGAATCTATATATTTTTAACAATAAAATTTAAAAAATACAATTTAAAAAAAGAGTATTTAATGGCAAATTAAAAATTCTTTTGTTTATATTTTTACCTTCACCTGGAAAAAAGCTCATTCTTCTGTATTGTTACTGCTCCTCCCCTTCCCCCATAGCAACCAGCACAGGATTCTGCAGTTTGTAGTCTATAAATAAAATGTTTGTTAAATCACAGAGCCTTAGAATCTTAGAGTCAGAAGGAATCTTGGGAATCTCTCTTGTCCAGTCCTTTACAGATGAAGAAAGCCAAGTCTAGAGAGATTAGTTGACTTGCCCAAACTCACATAGCTGGCTGGTGGCAAAGGACTAGAACCCAGGTTCCTCCCGCTTTGAAATACCCCACCCTAAATTGTCCTTAGATAATCACGACAGGAAAAATCTAATTTTACACAAGGTCTCCCAGGGATGGTGGTGGGAGGGGTGATTTGCCTTAGACTGAGACGTTTACAAAGACTCTAGGTCGGTCGCAGGACCGCCCTGGAGGTCTGACTCCTCGGCTCGGTGCTGGGGAGGGTCACAAGTTACGTGTTGATGAGTCTGCGGCCCCATCTGGGCTCTTCGGACAGGAAGGCGCCCACCAGGGCCCCCACCCAGGGAGCTCCCTCCCGGGCTGCCAGCGTCTGTCACGCCGCCGCCGCGGGGCCCGCCCCACGTGGACTCGGCTCCCAGGATCAAAGTCTGTTTGCTCCCGGGACCCCGCAGGTGTGCGGCGGGCGGTGGGCTGCGAGGACCCGCAGGCTAAGAGCAAGGGAGGTCTCGCCCAACACAAGCCCGCCCCTCCTCCTCCTCCTCCTCCCCCCGCCGCTGCACGCGGCCCTCGCCCCCTACCCTCCCCCACGGTGCTCGCCGCTGCACCCGGCCGCGGCCCCCCAGCCCACGCCCGGCTCCCGGAGGCGAAGGCCCCGCCCCATCTGTCGGGGCCGCGGCCCCGCCCCCTCCGGCCCCGCCGAGACTCCGTCCAATCGTGAGCGCGGGTGGGCGGGACGCGGCGACTGTCGTGAGGGGGTCCTAGCCAATGGGCGCGCGTGCCGGGCCTTGTGGGCGGGGCGTCGGCTCCTTGTCATACGCCGGTCCGTGTGAAAACGGGGGTTCCGAGTGCAAAGCAAAGTTTTTTTGTAAACCGTCTGCAAAGCCTTGGGGGGGAGAAGCAGGCGCCCGGCACCGGGCCGAGTGCAGCTGCCGTGGCCGCCGCCGCCTTTTCAGCCTCCCCGGCGTCGGCTTCTCGATCGGAGCCCACCGCGGAGGCGCCCAGCGGCGGGAAGACCTGCGCGGAAAGCCGCCTCAGATGCTCGGAGCCTTCGCAGCAGCGCGGACCTGCCTCCTGTCGCCCGCTCCCGCCTCCCACCGGCTCTCGCTTCGGGTCGGGCTCACGGTCCCCGGGCTCCGGGCACCCCGGCTCCTCCGCGCCGCCGCTCCCCTGCAGGTGTGGGGCTGCTGGGGCTGAGCCGGGCCTTCGGAGCTGCACGCTTGCCGGCCCGCCAGGGACGCCCACCGGCGCGGCGGCGGCTCACCGCTCACCCCCCTTCCGACCCCGGAGGCTACTGAGCGGCGGCCCCAGCGGCCCGGCCCGCCGGCTCGGACCGAGAGGATCCCGCGCCGCCCTCCTCCTCCCTTCCGTCACCGGCTCCGAGACCGGCCCTCCGCGCCTCCGCAGCCACCGCCTCCCCCAGGGTCCGGCCGCCCGCGCTCGGCGGGGCCCCGAGGAGCCGCAGCCATGGGGTGCTGGAGCCGCAACCGGGGCCGGCTGCTGTGCATGCTGCTGCTGACCTTCCTGTTCATGGTGCTGGAGATGGTGGTGAGCCGCGTGACGGCGTCGCTGGCCATGCTGTCCGACTCCTTCCACATGCTGTCGGACGTGCTGGCGCTCGTGGTGGCGCTGGTGGCCGAGCGCTTCGCGCAGCGCACCCACGCCACCCAGAAGAACACGTTCGGCTGGATCCGGGCCGAGGTGATGGGGGCCCTGGTGAACGCCATCTTCCTCACGGGCCTCTGCTTCGCCATCCTGCTGGAGGCCATCGAGCGCTTCATCGAGCCGCACGAGATGCAGCAGCCGCTGGTGGTCCTGGCGGTCGGCGTGGCGGGGCTGGTGGTGAACGTGCTGGGGCTGTGCCTCTTCCACCACCACAGCGGCTTCGGCAAGGGCCACTCGCACGGGGGCCACGGCCACGCCAAGGGGGGCGCCCGCGGCGGCGACCACAGGAGCCCCGGCGGCGGCGGCCGGAGGAGACCCGACCAGGAGGAGACCAACACCTTGGTGGCCGGCAGCAACGCCAACGGGCTCAAGCTGGGCGGGGCAGGTGAGGAGAGAGGCGCCCGAGCCTCAGGTGGTTGGTTGGGTTTTGGGGGAGCCGGGACCGGCACCGGCACCGGCACCGGGACCGGGACCGGAGCCTGAGCCTGGCCCCGGGCGAGATGGCCCGCGCGCCCCGCGCACGCCCCCTGGCGCCCGAGTCGGTGTGCGCCGCGCCCTCCGGTCCCGCCCCCGCCGGGGATGGGGTGCAACAGGGACCCCTTTCTGCGCTGGTGTTAGCAGCTCCCCCGGGGGGAGTGGGGGTGTAGGTGTGTGTGTGGGGGGACGTCTGAGGGATGTAGGTGGGCGACAGGCTTCTGCCCTGCGCCACCGCCCTTGGCTGTCCTAACAGGCTATCTTTTCCAAGAGACTCGTCTAATTTGGGTTTTTAAAGGATCCAAGATGCTTTCTTAATTCAGTTTCTTGACCCCATTGGGAAGTGGAGGGAATCAGCCATTCGTTCTTAGTCGTTGGCTGTTAGAAATCCAGGTGGTTGGTTCTTTGGCCCTCTGGACAAGTTTCTGAATATTGTGTTCAGGGCCGTTTTGCCACTGACTTTCCAGAATTCTGGGTTTCTTGTATGAACAGCAAGGTATGTTCCAGTTAGCTGTCTTAACATCTAAACCCGAATTCTGAGAATCCAAGACTTTAGGACTTGTTTAGGCATGCTTAACGTTTCAGTTAGGACTTTTCAGTTAGGCTAAAAGTGATTTTTTCATCTTTTATTTTTAATGGATGCTGTTCATTCTAAACGTAAGTGCTCTTGAAAGGAAGTTGGGAAGTAAATGCTGAAAGGAATCAACCAATGAATGCCCCACTACCCAAGCTCAAAAGTAACAACTTGTATTTCCTTCCATTTTTTTTTAATCATTTGTATTTATTTGCCTGGTTGCATGATACTACATAGACATTTTCCTTGTTTTGAAGATGCAGGATATTAGGTTAATGAAATTCAGATTGTATATTGAAAAAGTTTAGTAGATAATTGAATTTTCCTTTCACTCCTATTCTGCAGGGTTTTTATTCCAAAGAAAATTTAAGCTGCTCTGATTGTGTGTGTGTGTGTGTGTACAGATTGGCATGTTTGAAGAGTTATAGAGGGAAATGGGGTGAGGTTGGTAAAAAGGTTCAGACTTCCAGCTGTAAGATAAGGTCTGAGGACCTGTGTAACACATGGTGGCTATGGTTGATAACATATTCTGTGATTGAAATTTGCTATGAGAGTAGAACTTAAATGTTCTTACCAAAACAAACAAACAAACAACAACAAAAACAAAAACAAAGATAAATATATGAGGTGATGGATGTGTTAAATAAATGGGGGGATTCTTTCATAATGTATAGCAGTGTTTCCCAAAGTGTGGTACGCGTTGCACTGGAGTTTGGTGGGGACATGCACTGCACCGTGCTTAGCTGCGCCTAATTCTACGTTCTCATGAGTACGAGGGGTACTCAGCGTTATGAAAATTATAGAAGGGGTATACATATGTCAAAAGTTTGGGAAACACTGATGTATAGAAATAGGTCATCATGGTGTACACTTTTAAAATAGTCTAAAACGAGTAGGGTACATACATAGTGATCAATTAGCTGCAATTTTTACTGAGGTCACTCTGATTCTTGATAACATTTTATTGTTGATTTGTCAGTTTCTAAATCCTCTGTACCAAAAAACTACCATTTATATTCATAATAAAAGTTTAAAAGTGAATCGTAACACTTTAAAAACAAAAAGTTCTCTGTCAAATCAAGCCTTTGTATTAGACTTATCCATAGTTGCATTTGATGGTGGGGTGATAACATCCAATTTTGCTACCGTGTTTCCCCAAAAATAAGACATCCTCCGAAAATAAGACCTAGCGCATGGAAAGATAAGACATCCCCTGAAAATAAGATCTAGCGCAACTTTGGGAGAAAAAATTAAGATTCGGTGACGAAGGCCCAGTATTTAAATGTGCTGTTTTATAACCCTGTCTTATTTTCAGGGAAACAGGGTATATGCCAAAAAGATTAGCAGAATGTTCACAGGACCCCATCTCCACAAAAAGATGAATTAAAAAAAAAAAAAAAAAAAAAAGAGTGGGAGGAGGTAGAATAGTTAGGAGAATGGGGAAACTATCCTCTTATGACTATTTAGCTCTGGCCATTATTTCCTAGTATGGTCCCAGTATGTCAGTTTATATTAAATTGCCCCAAGCACATTTTAAAATCATGTTTTATGAAAAAAAACTTCACCTCCTTACTTGAATGGAATTAGACAAGGATGTTTATATAAACACTTTAAGTATTGGATTCAAGGTTTGTATTTCTTTGCAGATCCAGAGAAGTCCAGAACTAATGCGACAGATGTACAAGTGAATGGGAATGTTATCAGAGAAGCTGACAATACGGATTTGGAAGATGAAGCTGATGATGCTCAAAAGGCTGGACAACTTAACATGCGTGGAGTTTTTCTGCATGTCTTTGGAGATGCTTTGGGTTCCGTGATTGTAGTAGTGAATGCCTTGGTCTTTTACTTTTATTGGCAAGCGTGTCCTGAAGGGAAGTTCTGTGTTAACCCGTGTATCGCTGACCCCTGCAAAGCGCTTGTAGAAGTAATGAATAATACTCAAGGAACAGTTTTTGAGGCTGGTCCTTGCTGGGTGCTATATTTAGATCCAACTCTTTGTATTTTAATGGTTTGTATACTTCTTTACACAACGTATCCATTACTTAAGGAATCTGCTCTTATTCTTCTACAAACTGTTCCTAAACAAATTGATATAAAAAATTTGATAAAAGAACTTCGAAATGTTGAAGGAGTTGAGGAAGTTCATGAATTGCATGTTTGGCAACTTGCTGGAAGCAGAATCATTGCCACTGCTCACATAAAATGTGAAGATCCAACATCATACATGCAGGTGGCTAAAACCATTAAAGATGTTTTTCATAATCACGGAATTCACGCAACTACCATTCAGCCCGAATTTGCTAGTGTAGGCTCTAAATCAAGTGTAGTCCTATGTGAACTTGCCTGCAGAACTCAGTGTGCTTTGAAGCAATGTTGTGGGACTCGGCCACAAGCCTACTCTGAAAAGGATACAGAAAAGGCCCCAGCAGTTAGCGTTTCTTGTTTAGAACTTAGTGAAAATCTAGAGAAATCCAGGACTCAAGCTGAAAACATACCTGCTGTTGTGATAGACATTAAAAAGATGCCAAACAAACAACCTGAATCATCTTTGTGAGTCTTGAAAAAGATGTGATATTTGACTTTTGCTTTAAACTGCAAGAGGGAAAAGACTCCACTGAAATTCTAAGTTTGCCAAGTAGTGTAATTGAAGTCTTTGCCTGGTCACACAGTTTAATTCTATTTTTGTAAGAACATAATGGGACTGTTTAACAGACTTCTGTATTACAATTTGTGATTCTCAGTGCAGAGTACAGCTATGCTGTAACAATTTTTGAAAAGCCAGTTTTAACACTATGTTACATTTTGTTTAAAGTAAGTATAAACCTTATATAACATAATGACATTTGATTTCCAGTTTTGCCATGGGGAAAATTAATTAGGGGGATAAATAAATTAAAATTGTTACTGGAATTTCTCTGCTTTTCTTTTCCCCCCAGTGTTATATTTTGTTTATTAAAATTATAATTGCTAGAACTTAAAATATCACCAACAACTTTGTTTCCTTTGATACTTTAATATTTACTTGCTCTTTAAGATCATTGTATAGCATAGTGACAGCATATTTTAAGAGTGACTGATGGATATTATTAGGAAAAGCTTTTTTTTTTTCTTTACTAGGGGTATTTATCATACTAAAGGTTAGTTATTATCCTGTGTTCTATATTGCTGAGTATTGCTCTAATAAACAGTGAGATATAATTAACATATTGAACTATAATTTACACATAATAGGGCATATGGGGAGTAAGAGCAGGGAAGAAAGTTTACCAAATTAAATATTTAGATTATTGTAAATTGATATTGAGACTACATTCTAAATTGAGAATTGGAACATGTTTTTTCTTACCAAAGTTAGTCTACAACACGGATGTGTTCACCAGCATTACTTGCTTTGAAAGATTGGCATCAGAAGCACATATATTCAGTAAATGTTTTTAAGGACATTAAACTCAAATCTAATAGTTACATGTTAAATGCAAGCTTACTAATAGAATCTTTAAATTAAAAAAAAAAAAAAAAAAAAAAAAAGACTTTCCGGAGTTAAAGTCATTTCATAGTGACCAATCATGAATGGATTCAAGTGCAGCTTTTCAAACACCACCAGCAATGCTTGTTTTTTTTTGTTTTGTTTTGTTTTTTTTGCCAAGAGCCACTGATTTGGGAGAACAAAGAAATCTGAAATGCAGTTTGGATATTAAATTCTTCAAAAGCAATATGAGTTCAGGCAAAATCAGTCATTAAGATTCTGTAAGTTTTCCTGTCTTGACAATGCTCAGATCTCCCAATGATGGCTTATTTTGGGAGAGACCACAATATCTACACAGGAAATTGTTCTTGGTTATTTTATTGTTGCTATTACACAAATGTTATTTTAAGGGTATTTAAGTGGTATTTTTCTTGATAGAGAGGGATTATGGTTTGTGAAGAAACTAGATTTTTTGTCCTCAAAAGGGTGGATATTAATATCAGTTATCATGTATAGTTCTATTTTTCTAGCAACAAGGTATCCTGACTACTTCTTGTGACTTTTATAGATGACTACTTTTAAGATGGCTACCTTTTGGGCTTTGAAATAATTCATTGTTTAATGCTTCTTAAGATGAACATGCTGGCCTTTGACTGACAGTTAACTTTTTAAAGGGATGATCTTCTGTGGTAGACGGTGTGGGGTTTTTTCTAGCATAAGCCTGTTGCTGGCAATGGGCCTATTTAAGAACAGCTGATTTTTCCAATGAGAGAGAGGTAATTTTAGGAATACAGTTTGTAAGTCCACATTTACTCTTAACGGGCCAAAACCATAACCTGCCAATTTTCAATACATCTGGACATTTTAATACTCTTCTCTGATAGTGTGGAATTAGATTCCTAAATTGGTAGTTACTTTGAACTTTACAATTTCTTTTTAAACATGAACTTGGGGAATTCCCTCGTTGTATGGATGAATAAGAGAGAGAGCTTCAAATTGTACTGCATCGTGTTTGTTCCTGATGTAACACTTTTAATCTACAAAACATTAAAAATCTCAAAAACAGTTTGTTATAGAAACATTACAGTAATGATACAGTATGATAACTGGTAAAATATATTCCATGCAACGAGGTTTTCTATATACAAATGTTCTATTTGGGTCTCTTGTTTTAAAGGTGGTATAACGTGTAAGACATCAGCCGACAGGGTTTTTGGGTTTTTTTAATGATGTATAAGCTTGGGACAAGGGCTCTTCTCCCCACCGCCACGTACTTTGAAGGTAACAAACTCTAGGTCTCAGTTATTTCGCTTTTCATCATTTCTAAGGAGCTTGTATGTAGCAAAGTGGTACCACAGGAAGATTCTTTTTTTTCAAAGGACTTTGTCCTATTAGCAAAGTCAGTGGGCATGGACTCACCTTTCGAGTTTGGGCAGAGAATTATTTATTTCTTTACAATGCACTTTCTAACCCATCTTTAGCTATATTAGCATTTTTTAAAAATGTTTTTCTATTTAAATATTGTGGGATTTAGGTGTCTTTTCTAAAGTAGCTTGTTCCTTCTTGAAAGAAAATGAAGGGAATGCCCTGAATGATTCGGAGACGTAGGCCCAGTATTTAAATGTGCTGTTTTATAACCCGGCGTCAGTGTTGGGAGGCGCAGCGCTCCCACTGGCTCTTTTCTATCTGAGCGAGATGGGTGTCCTGAGAATGTGTTTAGCAACTTGTCTGTCGTGTCTCGGTTTAGTGAGAAGGAGGTGCTGCATGTGCCTGGATTAAAACCAACCCAGAAATGTTTCCAAGCCAAATGCAGCCTTCGTGATGAGATTGGTTTAATTCTCCATTGTCACCTTGTAGCTTAGATGAATGTTTAGTTAGTGGTTTTTTGTTGTTATTTTTGTTTTTTTGTTTGTTTTTAAGGGCATATGCATTGTAAAAGTAAGGACTGGAGCCTATAAGAAAAAAGGTCAAAAAACTTTGCTGTATGTATTTTAACATTTTAGAAAACAATGTTTGACTAACTAAGGTATGTAACTTAGGTAGGAAAAATTTCCATCCAGACCACCTTTGGAAAATCACAATAGGCAGGAGCCTCTGTTAACATTTTGTATCTTGTTAACAGCCTCAGTTAATCTAGAACTTTTGAGAGTTGAGGGAGAAGGCCTATGAAAGCTAATGTGAAGCATTTAGTAGGCTCACTGGTGTTGAGTTGAAGATTCTTTTACTGTTTCTAAGCAGATATCCTTTTAATGATATGTCATTTACCTGCTGTCTTAAGATGTTCACCTACATAAATGTGGAGGATAATTCTACATTATAGATATATTTATTTTGATAGCGTTTCAGTTAAGTCACAAAACAGTGTTAAAACGTTTGGGAAGGTAAAGGGTTGTTGTTTTTTGTTTTTTAAATTGAAACCGTCAAGTACAGTGTCTGACCATCTGAAACGGAAATTGCAATAGCACTATTTTGATATAGCTCTACCAGTACTGTGGCGATGCTCTTTTGTTCTAGCAGGCGCTGGACTATGGGGCAGTTTTTTTTACTGGCACCAGAGCTTTTTGTATGTCACTCAGCTTAAACTTTTAAACCAAAAATGTTATGGACCAGTGTCTTTGGCAGAAGGGTGCTGAAGGGAATGTAACATTAATTAATATGTGGTTATTTGTAAAAGGACACAAATCGCCACCGTAGGGGCCTGCCTTGAAACAGCACAATGACGTGTATCTGTGTATCTCGTGATTCTGTATGAAACTTCCATGTTGTGTTGTTCGGAGGCCTGCCGAGGCCTGTCCTGCGGGCCGGATGGGGCAGTGAAATGCTACTGTCATCTCATTCAATGCAGAAGCACATACAATGTCTTCAGTGCTGCAACACTTTACCTAACTGTGTGTGTGTGTTCTATGATTGTACATTGTTTTCCAAAGCTGTTCCTCCTACCTCATCATGAGGCTTTATGGATTCGCTATGTATTATAAATGTTCTTTATGAGACAAGACTACTGTGTTTCTCCTCATTTATTAAACGTTAAGTAGGAAAATAAATTAATTTTTAAGTATCTCCTTGGTTATTTTGTGCATGTGGCCTCCCCTCCTGTGCCAGGCTGGGTTGTGTAGAAGAGATGGATGTAGGTGTTGAAAGGGAAATGGCAGTGTTGCTCATGTGCAGGATGACTAGGTGACAGGACAGTGCTGTGTGGAGGGAAACTAATGTGGCAAGAATGTCAATAAAAACAGAAAGGGTAACAGTGCAGAGGCTCACCCACATGAAGTGATGGCTGTGAGATTTCTTATAAGCATTTATAATTAGTGCAGCTACAGGTTAATCTGCCTTTTGTACATGCTATTGCTTATTTGAAGGCATAGTTACTAACAAGGATTATGAACTATTTGACTTATAAAATCATCTGGAACGGTTAACAAAAGTACAGTAGTTTGGTTATATGAGTTCAGGACTATCATAATTGTAGTCTCATAAAAAAATATTTTTTGAAAAGCCAGGAGATAAACAGGGGAAAAAATGACAATAAATGGCAGTAGATAATAGAATTGAAAAGTGCAGCAGAGATATTCCAAAGAAGGTAAAACTCTTCGGAGAGGATTTCTGTAGGTTAAAAATGTAAGGAGGAGCAGGGGTTGAAAGGTGAGGGCATGGAATAAAGGCATAGATGGTTGAGGATCGAGTGGTAGGAAAGTAAAAGAGAAGGTTAGCATCTGGTTTGAATTTGGTTGTATGGGAATGAAGGAAGCCATCAGTTTTTGAGTGAAAACGTGAGAAAGTGGAAAAGGCACTGCACAGGATAGATTTGGAATGGGAAATAGACAAAGAGGCAAATCACTGCTAAGAGCCCAAATACACATGCCCACTCTACACATACATTCCTTTTGGTTCCACACACATGCTGTGTTCATACTTTAACATCTGAAATCAGAATGCATAGATGCAGTCAGCTTTTGGTCAACTTTTTTTTTTTTTATCTCATGAGACTATGGATTGTTGTCTACACTAATAAATTTATACTAATAAAAGAGAAAGATACAAGTTGACTGTACCTTCATGATGCCCACCAGCCAATCAAAGATGGTGGG